GGGAAAAAAAGATAATAACTAGCAATCTTAATATCTTAAGACTCTTTTAAAAAAAGAATTATTTATATATGTGTACAAGAACGGGCTGTAGGCCAGAGGTGCAGGGTTTGAGAGGATTCCACAGAGAAAGAGTGTGGAGCAGAATAGGCTGATCTATTGAAATATACTACTGAGGGGAGCAGCAGGCAAGATAGGAGAGGTCTGCTGTGCTATGTGGGTCACTTCCCTAACTGGGGATTGAACTCAGCTTTGTTGTGCTAAGACTTAACCCCTTGTGCCACCAAAGAGGCCCCTACATTGATTTTCTATGAGCATGGATTTTATCTTAACATAAAAACTTCTATTAGCTAGACATATCACCATGAGGGTATCATGGTATGTGTCGATACAACTGCCAGTAAAAAGTTTGTTTTTTTTTTTATTTGCAGGAAAAGAAGTTGGTTTGGAAGTTAAAATGTGAAGGAACTATATTTTCTTCTCCTTGTTTGAGCCTGAATCCGCATCATTTGTATTTTGCTACTCTAGGAGGACTTTTACTGGCTGTAAATCCTGTAAATAAAACATTTACTGATTTTACTACCAACTTCCTTTAATTTTTCTGTTTTGCTTTGATTTCCTGAAATTTTCAATTAGATATAGTCCAGGGATCACTGTTCCAGAACTCATTAAGAATGATTGACAGGAAGTCCAGAAAGATGTAAAAACCTAAATTCTTATGTCTTTCATCCTGTAATTGGCAGAATTTTCTCAATCACATTAAGAACTTGGTCTCCTAAGGATGGATTCTCATGTGGTAGTTATTTCTTTTCTTGTTTTACTGCAAGTGTTTACCCTAGCGCTCATAAAGAGCTCTGACTCATTTTATAGCTGTTGTATATATGTGTACTTGCTTCATTTGTAATGTCAGCAAGCCACAGTAGTGTTTTCGGTGTTTATAGCTTTGCCTTTGGGGGACTTAGCAGTTTTCTTTATGAAGGGTAATTGGTTAGTAGAATGATTTCAATGCCATGAATTGTGTTTGCCTGTTAATAGGCCACTGGAAATAGAGTTTGGAAACACTGCTGTGGAAAACCACTCTTCTCTTCTCCACGGTGCTGCTTACAATATGTTTGCATTGGCTGTGTAGATGGGAATTTGCTCTGTTTTACTCACTTTGGAGAACAGGTAAAAATTTCTTGTTCTAACTTTGTATTTTCCTCAAAGTGACCAGCAAGTAAATTTCATTGTGTTGAAAGCTATTCTATTTTAATTGTCAAGCCCTGGGTTTCTTACTTTCTGAATAAGTTTAAAGGTTCTGCTTTGACATTATTTTGCCACCCTCCTCTACTAATGAAAATTTTTTTTACCAGTTTTTAGGCAAATTTTATTATAACTTCTATTGGAATTATGAAAATTTAAAGAAGCCCCTGCTTTATATATGAAACCCATAATCTGTTGTGTAGCCCAGATTTCATTGCATAGGGACACTATCTTCAACTGTATGACTGGCAGGGCTTACATCAGCTCTTTTATTGGGAGAATAACCTCTCCTTTAAATACACAGTCACTCATTTTTCTCACAACGTCTGTTGTGTGCTTGATTTGGGGAATTATTTTGTGAGCTTGAAGATTATAACCTCTCCATCATAAGTGAAATCACTGCATTCCCCACTCATAACCGAGCTGTCCTTTTGCTTTGTGGGACGGTTACATGGCTATGAAATATTTTATTATATTCACTTAATATTTTTGTTTACAACATAGCTTGAATATATTCTCACTTTTATATTTCTGAGAAGAGGCAAGTGTGGCTACTCCTATTTTTTTCATCAACCATAGAAAGACAAAAGTTAGTTTGTCTAAGTCAGGGACAAAACAGATCGCAAATTATATATGTCAGCCAGCACTATTTTTTTCTTTGTTTGCTTTTTTTTATGCTCCTGTTACTGTGTATTTGTAAACACTGCCTTAGACTTACATCTTTTCTTCAAAATATTAGTGGACAGGGGCTTGCTTATAACTTTGAAATAAGCAGATATATCCACAGTGGAGATATAATAATTCAAGAGCTTTTTGTTTAAAACTTTAATGTAAATTATTGTACATAAACTGTTCCTTTCTGCTCAGTTACTTCCTTCTCATTGTTAGAAGATAAGTAGTTTCATCTTTGAATTCAGTGTCTATGTATATACTAGTAATAACTTTCTTAAATAACTTTGTTGAAAGTAAAGTTTGCTTATGATATTTTACATAGCAATAACTCATGCAATAAGAATGCTCCAATATAATGTGTCCTAGATTTAACTATTAGAATAGTAGTCTAATTTTTTGATAAAACCATTATTTTTTCTATTTAGCTACCATTCAATAGCCTACACCTCATATTTTATCAACAATTTCATAAAACCTTAATAAAAAAATTCAATGAATGAATGATTTTTCCTCATCACCCTTCAGGTTTGGCAATTCTCTACCAGTGAACCAATCTTTTCGTCCCCATGTACCTCAGCTTCAGAGCAAGAAATATTTTTTGGTTCCCATGACTGCTTTATATACTGTTGTAATCTGAAAGGTCACCTTCAGTGGAAATTTGAAACAACCTCAAGGGTGTATGCAACGCCATTTGCTTTCCATAGCCACAGTTTTAGCAATGAAATGCTGGCAGCAGCATCTACTGATGGAAAACTATGGATTCTGGAATCTAAGAGTGGACAATTGAAAAGTGTACATGAACTTCCGGGAGAAGTCTTTTCTTCTCCTGTGGTCTGGGAATCAATGCTTATTATTGGATGTAGAAATAATTATGTCTACTGTCTGGATTTATTGAGTGGTAATGAAAAATAATCAAATGCAGCCCTTAATATCTGTGGCACTTGAAAATACTTTACCAGTATAAAAACATTTTTACATTAAAGATTCTATTTTTCTTAAGAAACTAGTTTGGTACTTTTTTTTTTTTTTTTGAGAACAGTCATATTTTTATTCCTGTGGTAGGAGCAAATGCTTTTATAAGGAATTATAGAACAAAACACCAAATTTAGTAGCTGTTTGTTTTAATGAGGCTAAACATACTAATTATTTTTTAAATAAAAAGCCCATGAAGGGAAAAGAAGATCAGAAATCAGAATATACAGGGTTACAGACTTACCCTGTGGTGTAGTACACAATTCACTCACATGAGGATTCATGCAAAAAATTGCTTTGCTTTAACCTATACACTATAGTAGTGATAACACATGCCACTTCCGAACCTTCGCCTTAAGGCCTAGCTTCCACATTTGTGATGGTGGGAGCCCTAAGCGGCCTCATAAGAAGTGTGTGGCAGCGTTTTCTGTGCTGGTGCTTAGGGCGGCTTCCCTGCTGGAGCAGTGGAAAGGGCATGACTGCATTGTGGTCGAGGAGGTACAGAAACATTCTGTGCCCCCACTTGTGTTCTCACCCATGACGTTTGTAGGTGGTGATGGAAAACCTGTGCCTTTGCATGAAGAATCACAAACAAAAAATGGCAGTCCAGCTGTATAGTGAGTACAGCCCTATGTTGGGTATGCCCACTTGAGAAGGCAATTTTAAAGAGAAGGGACCTCAGAAGGCTTTGGGTCCATATGGTTGTAAGCACTGTGCTGCCAATCACAGACAATAAGTCGAAAATCAGGTTAAGAGATACACCTCCGTACTCACCAGCCAGGGGTGCTGTGACAGCAAATACTATGATCCGGAAAATGACAAGTGAATCAGCTGCATGGTCCTTAGCATGGCATTCCTGCTAGCCAGGCTAGGGAGCACGCAGATCATGGTGCACCTGCTGGAAGCGAATACCAACATCCTGGGGCTGCCTGCTGTTCACACCTGCAGAGATGACTGCTGATATGGAGGGTGGCAATGCCAAAGCTCTGCTCTGATGGCTCAGAAAGCCCCTACTATGCCGAAAGCCCAGTGGCATCCACCATGGAAACTGGTAAATTGAAACTGTCCTTAACTGGGCACACTAGCACAGTGTGTGGTGATAGAAGCATGAGGAGCTCACACCTGTTCTGCAGCGACAAGTCAAAGACTGGGATCTTGACTATAAGATTATAAGACACTGAGGCATGGATGTCTCAGTGCAGGGTGTGGTTTGGGTGGGCACCCAACAAGCCACATTCTGGTAACATGTGAATTCAACTGCACAGATTTGCAATGTGAGAACTAAAGCCCGTGGACACACATTATCTGGGCACATAAACGCGGCTGCTACAGGAAAGTGTCAAGCTGCAGAAACACAAATTATTATCTTAGAAGCCATGACACTACAATACGAATATTGGGTTTGGTGACTGGAAAAACATTAACAAATCACAAGGAATCAGTCAGGGTTATAGTTTTACGGACAAGATTATTCCACATTTTCAGATAACATAAGGGTGGAAATTCCCTAATGGAAGTTTTATTCAAAATCTTTCTGTTATAATGCTATTAACACAATGACAATAAATTCTGATGAAATGCTAGCCAGAGTGGACAGCAGTGATATGCAGCTTTGGGACTGAAGAACTGACTACTTCCAGAGAATTCATTCCGCTGCATGGCTGTATGGTATTGCATAGTGAAATCAGAAATATTTACTTGTGCTTTTGATCAGTCTGAAAGGTGATTTCTAACAGCTGAAGCTGATACAACCATTAAATTGTACAGAGGATGATATAGCAACAAAAGATACTCATCTGTCAGCTGGAAACTGTCAAGAGAAAAACATTTTAATGGGCATTATCTTCATGGTGGTTCCGTTTGTGGGGTTTGTTTTTCTTAGCTTGGCACCGATGAAGTTATCCCACCAGAAATGTACATGCTGGACGGACTGCTACTTCATGTTTCATAGTAAAATCCAGTCCTACACCCTCCAAGTAAGAAGTGCTCAAGGGTCATTCTGTCTGAGAGACAGACCATTCATTTCCAATTTGGATTGAGATAAGTATTTTATTTGACCCTATTATTTTTTCTCTAAAAACTTCTAATGAAAAAAGATACTACAGAAAATGCTTGGAGGTTTTTTTTTGCTTGTTTGTTTTTGTTTTTTTGAACAAAAGCATTCTTGTAGATGATCACTGAAATTAGTGAAAACTTCAACTTGAAAAGGAAATTCCATCAATACTGGAGACCTTGTGAGTATTTTTTATTGAAAGATCTTTTCCTTCAATAATGGACATTTTACAGTAAAACTTTATACAACCCAAATCTCAGAATAATATTAAAATCACACTAAGATACGTTCATTAAGTCTCTACTTAATTTTATTGTTGGTAAAAATATTGCAAGACACTTGTAACTCTAATGTTTCTGCTTTAAAATAAGCAAACTAAATGTCACAAGAGACAATGAGTACATACTATAATTTGCTGATAACTGGCTAAAATGATAATTTAATAGAGATTAGTAATGTTATATAAGAAACAATTGCACTTGAAAAATTAAAAAAGTAAACAAAAACTCAAGTCTTATATATATATGTATATATATATATGTCTATGAACAGAGGTTAATTATCTGTAACCTTGCCAGGGAAATGTATGTTTATTTAAAAAAGAAAACTTGTGTTTTTAACATAGCAATCATTAATTTTAAAAAGCCTTGAATTTTTTAGTACGGTTTTACAGAATTTCCTCATATCTGTTAAGAAAGGCTGCCACACAACTAAAGCAAAATAATACTTCATTGGTATTTAGTGCAAAGTTTGAATAACTTTTACTTGAAATATTAAACATGTGACTGTACTTTCCTCAGCATACTCTTCTTTTAAAGACTGTAATAGAAACTTTATAACTGAGGAATCTCTCTGACCTTTATAGGTTTGGTGGTAGATAGCCAGAATAGACTTGACTCACCTTCCATTCTGCGTTAATGACGCGATTTCTGTCCCTGTTCTCTGCCATTACTATGATATTATCCAAAGCTGATAGGATGAAAGAAAAGGTCAATTCAGAAGAATTGCTGTAACGCTATAACCCCAGAGTTCTGGGTTGAAAGGTTCCCATTAGTGTGTTAGATTAGGGAGGAAATCATTGAAACTAACAAATCCTTAAATATTTGTTTTAGAAATGGACATCAGTGGAAAACGTGCAGTGGAATATTTATCACCTCCCATAGCAATAGAAAAAAAGTTAAGATTACATTGATTCTTAAAAGACTGAATGTCCAGTATACATACCAATAAATCCAATTTGCAAGAGTATACCTACCCCCTTGATCAAACATGCCAGCTGCTCCTGTGAGCCTGAACCATTGTTTCAGAAACAAAATGCTTTCTAGATGCTGTCATTCTTTCTTTAAGGTCAATGATAGAGTAATAGCACATTGCGCATTGAGTGAGTATAAAGGAAAATGATGGCTACTAATAAAAAGTTTTTCTAGGAAAGAAAAAAAAAATGGGTGCAATTCCTCCTCCACTGGGCAAAGGATTTATATTTTGAAGTCAGAACCTAAGACAAAGAAAATATGCTCACATCATGAAACACAGTGTTAGTATCAGCAATGTGTGCATTTGCTGGCATGTCTGTTTCAGATAAAGCAAAGTTAGGGAAAGAAAAATTAAATGAGGCTTTTAATTTGCCAAGTCCCTTCTTTTCATCATGTGCACATAACAAGGCCACTTAAAACTCTGAAATGTTTTTTCAAGGTAGCAAGGTGAATGCTCTAAATTATAAATGCTACTGAACATTAAATGAATTACTTGATTAAATATGAATTATTTGATTATGGTAAAAAAAAAAAAAACAAAAAAACTCCTTGCAGAAGAACCTTAGTACAAAGGCTCCAAATCTTGGCTTGCTGTGAACTTTCCTTAATGACCTAAGGAAATTTTTAGAGACATGTAATGTCAGTAGCCTCTTGTATGTTATAGTATACATTACAACATGTTTACATTACCTGTCATGTAAAACCATGTTATATTACAGCTGTCTCGCTTTTGCTTCTTTGGGTGAAATGGGGCTCTCCTTCAGAGTTTTTAAGACTACCTAACACTAGAGGCAGTGTAATCCCAAGGTTCTGAACCTCTGGGACATATCAGAATTTATCTGAAGAGTTTTTGCTAGAATATACACTCCCAGCTCTGTCCTCGCAGGTCTGAGGCAGCAAGTCTGACAGGAAGCCTGGACCTCTGAAGAACCACTGCACCAGGTGGGGATCTCAGAGACAGAAAGGAATTGGTAGCTTCAATTCTCGGTCATGTTAAGTTAAAACGCTCCTAGAGCCAAGCAGGCCAAGTGAGAGCACTGGCATGATGACCTGCGTGTCCACAGTGCTGGAGTGTGACTGGATTTGCATCTTGTGGTACAGTATCAGGGTGGGGAAACGCACGGGAACCAGACATGGCAGAGTCAGGCTGTTAGCTGTGATGCACTGTTCGAGAGGATGGCCCTTCTTGTTTCTATCTGTATCTGGTCCTTTCACCAGTACTGTAGAAAGGGGTGGAAATCCCCGAAGATGTGGTGGCATAAATGTGTTGGAAATCGCAGTAGACAATTAAAAAGAAAGAAACATTACAAAGATTGGCAAAAGTACATGTTCTGAAGGGGGTCTGGGGAGGAAATGAGTGGGAAGGCTGTGGAGTGGACACCGCAGGCTCCCAGGGGTTTCTTAGTCTGAGTTTGCTTCACGCGGTCCTTGGACAGACTCTTCTGTTTAGAACTAGGAGCTCAAGGCACCAGGACCTAGGGTTGTGCAAATACACTCTTTACAAGGAACACCAACAGGTTCAGTTACTAAAACATTATTTTAGAGCCTATAAAACATGCTTTTTTCCCCCTAGCTTGGTTTCTTTACCTTATATAAAAAATAAATAAATAAAAAGGACAGGAGAGAAGCCAGTAACTGGCAGCAGGAATGGACGAGAGTCACTTGCTACTTGATTATCTGTGGGCAGTCGCTCCAGGCTTTGGCTTTCCTTTTGGCCAAAGCCAGCCAAGCCGGTTCTGTTGATGCGGGGGCAGCATCAGGGGTAGACAGCCTCTTCGTGACTTCTTTCACCAGCGGCGCCGGGGAGCCTGAATCAGAGATCTCCACTGGATTGAGTTTTTGAAGAAAAAAGAAAGGATAAGTCAGCCACATTTTGATTGATCCATAAGTATGAGATTCAGAAAGGAAAACCCACTGAAACTCCAGGCATCTTTGGAGAGAAAGAAACAAAAACCATAGCATCGTAGCCATTAAGTTCCAGTGACCACAGTACAGTCACCAATAGCAGCCCAGAACTTCTCAGACCCTGATTTCCTGTCACAGGCTACCCGTAATAAGAAATGCAAGGTGAACTGGGTGGTTTCTGCCCTATGACCAGTCAGATTCATGAAGAAAAAGGTCAAACCAGCAGTTTGAGCTGATCAAGCTGGTGAGTTCAAAAGTTACCTCCTCCATCAGGAGTGCCCTGAGATGGCCTCCACCCTCTGAAGGCCACGGTTCTGCCCACTCTCTGCTTTCACGCCCATCGAGTAATTCCTTGGCCTCTTACCCACTTTCTTTACCAGACCTTAAAGGCTTCAGAAGATGCAAGTTCCCATGTTATTTTTGGGTCATGTTTAGTCCCTACAGCTATGACCAACACACAAAATGCAAGAAATAACTGATTGAAAACACAAATACTTTAGGACAGTTTTGCTTTATTAAGCAGGAGTCACTGTGAATTGCATGAGCTCATCAGTACTTCCAAGAAATCAAGCAAAGGAAGGTGGAGTAACCTCTCTCTCTGTGGAGCTTTCGCTTGGAAAGAATTCTCCTGACACTCATACAACATTTAGAGCCCTTAGTTTATCCTTCTACCTACCAGCAAATGAAGTAATGCCCAGGAAGTTCTTAAGAAATTATACAGTACTCCAAAATGTTTTTCAAATATGAAGTTTTTTTCTCCTCACTAAACAGTAAATACAGCTTTAATAGTGAGTCTTCTACATTTCCAGACCTCAGCTAGCAGGGAAATAAGACATTTAAAAAGCCTGGGCTGTCCTCTGGGGAACAAAGTTGCTTAGTGGGGAGAAGAGATGCACTGATAACCCCTGTGAGGAAGTTTCTACCTATTTATCCATCCCCCAGGTGACTTGCAACTGGGAGAGTTTGAAATGTTACTGGATCAACTTAACTTACAACATTAAAATAAATTTTTTTAACACACACCTCTTACATATCATAACATTTAAAACCTGCTGATGCTAGCTAACATCAAGAACTTGGAGCTGAAAAAAATCCTTGCTCTAAGGTCACAGTTGGTCAAAGACTTTCTGGAACCACATCGGTGAGTATGGACCATCCCCCTTGGGCCTGGAGCATCCGAGCACTTCAGCCCAGGGTTTTCAGACTCCGCTTCCACACATTGACCTTAGCTTTGCGGAATCAAAGGAAAGGGGATCCTGAGTCCAATTGCCCTTGCTCAGGCCTGATGCCAACCCTTTTATGTACACTCAAAGGTGTACACCCTACACCTTTGCTTTGCTTGAATGTCTCAGAACACTGCTCCACTTACATTTTATCTAAACTTCACTCTTGCCCCCAAATCCATGATAATCATGTCTCTTCCCCTTTCTGGAAGGATCTTAGGGTATGGAGTGTCCTCACTACAGTGAGTTAAAAAGCCTAATTATGTCAGGCAAAGGGAGTGAAATGAGAGATGACTTGTTCAATGTTTGAGAATTTAGCCAGCCAACTGATCACAGGTGGTAGCTTGAAATTGGCAACAGCATTACACCACAGAAAATGGCAAATGCTACAAATCAGATGTCTCTCCACCCCTGAAGAGCTGGTAGTTAAGCATCTTCCACCATATCACTGCTGGTGGGTGAGTGCCTGGCAGTCTCACTGGGCGTGCTTTATTGGCGTCGAGGATTATGACAGTTGTTAAGTCTGGACTTCGGTGCCTGAAACACTGGGCTGGTCATTTTCACTGGGGGCAATAAAGCAAGGCCTGAGCACAGCCCGTAGCTGCGATTAAATGGGATTGGACCTGCTCCCTACCTGTCACAGATGTAGGAAGAGTGTTGGCTTTTTTCAGTTGTTCTCTGCGCTCAAGCCTGGCCACTGCAGTCTCAGGCTTCTCCTCAGGCTGAGCAGCGGGCTTGTGCAGGGAACCAGCTCTGCTGACACTGCTGCTTCCAGGCTGTGGGCTGACGCTGACCTGGGGGACAGAGGAAGCAGGAAAGGCGTGTTTTTGACCAAAGGACGTGGAAGACCTCAGCCCCCAAGCTGCTCCCAAAGGAGCTGCCGACTGCACTGTGAACACTGTGCTCAACTTCGGTGCCTTGCATGGAGCAGCTCTGCACACATCTCTGGGCGGGAAGGCGCCTTTCCCAGGAGAGCCCCATTGAGCTGTTGGGTACTTCACGCTCTCCAGAGCAGGACTCTCATTTCCTTCCAACTCCTTGCTTAAATCACTTTCACTTTTCCCATAACTTCATGTAGAAGTACATGAATCACTGCTACTGTTTTATGCTGTGGGTTCTACCAAATCAGGTTAACCAGGAGCATAAGGAGACCAAATCGAATCTATAGCTGCAAGTGCTTGGTTGAATGGTGGTCAATTTCTTTGTGTCTCCACCTTACCTCAGTATTCTCCGCCAATCCCACCTAGCTTGCCTTTCTTTAAATCCCTGGTACCGAAAAGGGAGCCAAGTTACAACAGAAAGGCCAGGCTACTCACGTTTTCTTTGGAGAACTTTTCCGCCTGCTTGGCCTCCCTGGCTTGCTTTCTCTCTTCTCTCGTGGCTTGCTGCTCCCGAAACCCCTTCTGCTTTTGCAGTGCTAATGTTATCCACAATGGCTGCGCAGTTTCCACTTTCTCCCCAAGTTTGGAGCTGTCCAAAGAGTGCCTGCTCTGCAGCACCGGCTTTTCTGTTGGAGAAAGATTTGTGATTCGTAAGAAGGAGTATACTGGCTCCACACAGTTCCTAGGAGTTTCCTAAGTGAGGAGAGCAAAAAGGTGCCCTTTGTTGTGTTAACTAGGTGAGAGGAAAGTGCCTAAGAATGGGGGCTGGTTGCTTACAGGGGCCAGCTGGAGGGCTCCTGTAAGAGGGGTCAGAGACTGAATTAATTCAGCCCTATAGGCCAATGATCCAATCACTCATGGCTCTATAATGAAGCCTGCGTAACTCCCACAGATCAAGGTTCAAAGGGGTGGCCAGGTGGGGGGTCAGGAAGCTGGTGCGTCCACCATGGTCACGGTGTGCCTTGCCCTCCCACCACTTGGTCCTGTGGGTCTCTTCCACCCAGCTGTTCTGAATGTTACCATTTTGCAATAACCAATTAGCAAGTGAACCCTTTACTTCAGTTCTGTAAGCTGTTTTAGAAAACTAAACCAAGGAGGGAGTCTTGGGACCTCTGATTTAAGCCAGTTGGTCAGACTTGGACTTGGTCAGACGCCCTGAGGTGGGGCGTCTCGTGGGCTGGCTCTCTGCCTGTGGGTCTGATGCTAGCTGCGGGGAGGCGGTGTCAGAACCGAGCTCGGTTGCAGGACACCCGGCTGGGGGTGGAGAGTTGTTTAATGCTGCTGGAAACCACCCACACATCCTCACCCATGTACGCACTGGGATTGTGGTCAGAATCAATACAAATCAAGCACATCTGCTTTTATGAAACTAACTGCTCATTACAGTCCACCAGGGGGAAGTAATCTCTTTGAGCAACAGAAAAACAGGAGCAGTTCTCCTAAACAGAAGAAGCCACTCTATATTCTAAGAAAAAAATAAAATTCCTGGTATCATAAAAGTTTAGGCCTGCTGGAGCCCCCAGGAAGTTATTTGATTCATCAATCGTTTTTTTTTTCAATCAGCTGTTTTTTAGCATTGAGTTTTTCAACTGCACTTTGTCTCCCCACCCCCAACCCAGACACACACAACATTCTTTGTGCAACCTCAAAGGAAAGGGGCTTTGCTTACCTTGGAGCCCTGAGTTTGGGCCAATGCCCTCACTGGATAAAAGTGAGTACAGCTGATCCCCCAGCAACTCAACTCAAATGTTAGGGGTGCAAACAAACTCTCTACTCAGTCAAAAATCCAAGTATAACTCTGGACTCCGCAAACACTTAACTAATATCCTGCTGATGGCCAGAAACCTTATCGAGTAACATATTTTGTCTGCTATATGCATTAGGTACTGTATTCTCATACTAAAATAAGCTAGAAAGAAAGTTATCAAAATCCTAAAAGAGAAAATGCATTTCCGCACTGTGCTCTATGTATCAGTGCTGTAAGCAGATGTCATCGGTTTACAAGAGGATTCGAGTGGAAGCGGGCCCGCACAGATCACCGCCAAGGATCGCCTGGTCTTGGCCACGGCGTCCAGCACTCTCGGCCATTGCCGGCAAGTGCGCCGCGCCTGAGAGAGCCAGGTCTGCCTCCCAGCTGGGGCTCTCGGTGCCCGGGGTCATCCACACAGCCAGCTCAGCACACCTCCCAGGTGGACAGTGTCAAGGCTGAGAACTTGGGCTCTGGGAGTGAGCAGACCTGGTTTGACCTTGGGAAAGCTGCTTAATCTCTTCTAAGCCCGAATCTTCTGACTGGAAACTGGACAATGTCACACGGCTCGTAGGGAGGCCATGAAGGCTAGACTTTAGAGCAGGGCTTGGTGCATGGTAACTACCTACGAAAGTGAGTTGTTACTGTGCCTATAAGGCAATGATTCCCTCCTTTTCCAAATAAAAATGAGGCATATTTGGAGGTCACATTAAGGCATGTGAGCCCTTTACTATCCTGATGGAGAAGGGCTCATTACTACCCTGATCTTTTCAACCCAGAAGAGGTTTACACTTTGACAATCCAGAACCTGCCCTAAAGTTCATGGCATTCAGCCAGCTGGACTTTACATTCAAGAAAAAGACCAAAATAAGCTCAAATTAGGAACCAAAGCGCGCGTGCACACACACACACACACACACACACAAGCAGATTCTGCTTAATTTTCTATACCCTAAATGCTGTACCAAAGAGAAATCACATTTATAGTAAGACTGGGCATTGCTATATCCCTAACCATCAAATAAAGATGCAAAAATAAACTAACATAGGAAAAGGAAACTAGCCTGTTTAGAAGTTTTTTTTTTTTTAAGATGAAACAGAAAAGATTTTGATTAACCTTTAGTTAACCAGAAAACAATATCCACTCCATCAGTATTCTGCTTAACTGTAAAGCATTAACATATACTGGAATTAACTTAATGAGTTCTGGTTTTTTATTCAAGGGAGGGCTGTGTAATGCTGTCCGTAAAATGTTTAAAAACAAAACTGCCAAGATTAAATGATTTCCATTGACACTGTTACGTAAAGGGAGCCTTGATGAAGCAGTCTGTCTGAAGTGGCTTGAGGAAAAACTGTTGAAGCAACTGGCCAGATCCACAATCAAGCATGGCAGGGATTATCACAAGGGTCAAGATGCCTTTATTTTATTTTAAGATTTATTTATGCATGCAGAAGGCCAGAGGTGCAGGGGTGGAGAGAGGATTCACCATCTTCAGGAGGAGCAGCGGGAGGGACAGGAGAGATCTGCCAAGTCATGTGAGTCACTGGGATCAAACTTGCACTGCAGTGGTTTCCTAGAGCTGTGCTTTAACCCGTTGTACCACCAAGGAGGGCCAAAGACACCTTTCAAGTACAATGCCTATATTTAAAATTGACCAAGATAATTTGAAAAGACAAATCTCTAGCCAAATTCTTAGAACTAGTGTTTGATGGGCACATTCTGTCATTATAGGCCAGCTTTTTAAAAGGTAGTAACACAAAATGTGTAAAGGGCCTTACAGGTAGATGGGGATTGGTTCCAGAAAACAGGAGGATGTTGAAATGAGACTCCTGCCTCAATTTCAGCTGAGAAAGCCCAAACAAAAGGCTTGAACTGAACAATCACTGGCACCTCTTTCCACATTGTGAAATCAAGTTCCTGGATCACCTGCTTGGGACTCGGGCCCATGAGGTGGCAAAACAGCTACCTGCAAAAATCAGAATGCTGAGTATCCAGAGTTGTCAAATTCAAAGACACAGAAAGTAGGGCCCTCCCTGGTGGCGCAATGAGTTAAAGCGCAGCACTAGGAAGCTGGCCACAGCTGCTTCAGCAAGAGTTCCCCAAATTCGCTCCCCAGCAAGGGGTGATCAATCACCACATGGCGCAGCAGACCTCTCCCATCTCGCCTGCTGCTCCCCTCAGCAGTGTACTTCGTCAGTCTGCCTGTTCTGCTCCCCACTCTGTCTCTGGTGAATCCTCTCATCATCCCTGCACCTCTGGCCTGTACCCCAGTTCTGTATACATACATAAATAAATCTTAAAAAAAAAAAATACAACAAAGACACAGAAAGTAGAGTGATGGTTCCTAAGGGTGGGGAGGGAGAATGGGAGCTATTTAGTAGGTATTAAGTTTTACAAGATGAAAAAGTAGAGACTGGTTGTACAACATGGATCTACGTAACACAACGAATACACTTTATGCTAGAATGGATAAGATGATAAATTTATGTTATACATTCTCTTGGTGTAATAAAAATTATTTTAATGACTGGAAGAAGTATGCCCAGGTTATTACCAGAGGCATGAGGGAAACAGGCGGCTCACCGATCAGATTTAAAGGAACAGCACGGAAAGACTAAAAGAAGGTTTTGCTACATCCTATGGAGTTTTGAACAAGGTGGTTGTTTAAATAAATCTCTAACTAATGTCATTTAGTCCAAGGAGAAACATGAGGACATGTATGTACAAGAGTTTTTAAAAGCGCTCAGCATTTTCCTAATGCCAGGTGAGACCCTGGTGGGTTGTGCTGGCACCAGGAAAGTCACTAACCGGGGAAAGAACTGGCTCTGGCTGTGACGCTGTGCCCACCACTGCAAAGTGCCCCGATCTGTCAGACATCGTGTCTTCATCTGGGCAAGGGTGCGAAGACCACCAACAGAGGTGCCTTCCGCATGGCATGAGATGGCGCAATGAAAGCACTTTGGAGGGCCTCGCCAGTGGCTAAGGGCTCAAAGTCTCAGCACTATCAAGCCACTGCGGCACACAGGAGCTCCATCCCCCGCCAGGGAGCCGACCCACAAGGCCCCAGCAGACCTCGCCTGTCTCCCCGCTGCTCCCCACTGTGATGTATCTCAGTAGATCTGCCTGTTCTGCCCCCCACTCTGTCTCTGGTGACTCTTCGCAGGCCCCACTCCTCTGGACTACTACCCAGCTCTTGTATACATAAATAAATAAAAATAAACCTTTAAAACAACAACACTGTAAATGATGAAGCACAAGGGGTAACTACTGCCGGTGGCACCCCCAAACAGCAAAAGCACTCCTTTCAGTCAAGGTTTTGAAAGATAAAGATGTTCTTTGTCAACTACATAACATTTTTAGTCCAGGAATTCAAAACAGCTGATTAAAAACATATTTCACTACAGTGTTTAAAGCTTTTCTCTCTCCTTCTACCCCGCGACCAGGAGAACCATAGTACATTCACGTTTCTTCCTTTAGGCTTTGTGGGGATTTCTGGCATTGCAGGGCTGCTCACTACTCCCTGAGGTGAGCTCTTGGGGAAAGGGCCACTTCTTACCTTACAGAGGTAGACATTCCAGAACAAGAGGACCACAGAGGCTGCCTGCTGTGACAGTGCTAAAGGTAACACACTGCTCAGGGCTGCTACTCCCATGCCGAGTTACCCCTCCCATGGCGGTCCGTATTACGGCCCCCCGAGACTGAACAGTGGTCTCCTCTGCAAAGACCACTTCAAAGAGGGTGTGCCTGGGGGCCTGCGCAAGGCAATTCACCAGGGATGAAGGCTGAAAAAATTCCTATTTCTTTTTATATATTTTTAAAATTTCATATATTATATTTTAAATCTAAATATAAAAACGAATTCCAGTTTTTCTAACATTTAGCTCTCAGGTGCATTCACACCTTCAAGCAGCCCATATATCAGAGGCCATACATAACACATGGAGTGTCTAGAGACCCCCCAGGGCGGCTGGGAGTGTTAGGAGCCGGTTGGGGTGGGGAGAGCAGAGAGAAGGAACTAGCAGTCTTGTCCTAACTCCACCCATCTTGCTTTTAGTATATTGTAAGCTTCTGCAGTTAGGTGAGTTTATGGGATAGTGTATTTCCTTTAACTAAACATCTCTCAGGACGTAAACAGAAGGCGTAAAGCAATTTATACAACCAAACCACAGGTTTACCATACTGCTAATAATGCAAGCCTAAGAGAATAGCAGAGCTGACGAGTTCTGACTTCTGCAGGCCGCTTCAGTGAATCACCCTAAGAGTATCCAGGGGCCCTGACCTAGTGAAGGTGCTACATGCACACAATTAACACATAAATTGGGGGTCTAGGCTTTCACATTTTTATCCTGAAGGGGACTTTTGTGTATTTCATGAAAGACGTTTAGTTAACAGAGATACGATAATCCATAAACTCCCCTAACTACAGAAGTCCCACCAGTGTGCTCAGTCCTAGCTAAGGGTCTTTGGGCAGCCACCACCCACGAAGCAGGTGATCTTGGCTTTCACAGTTCTTTTCTACCAAATAAAGAAAAATTCAAGTAGCAAAATCTGACAGCCCAGATCTGCATACTGGGAGAGAAAACAAAGGGCAGTCATTGTTTTTGGTAGAAAGTTACAATAACCAAAGGAACCTCTCTAGGAAAAAAAAGCAGAATGAGGTGGGAGGTGGTGGGAAAAGAAAAAAAAAGAAGTAGAATAGCATATTATTTCTTCAGGGAGAAGATAAGCAAGGGGCAGATCGGGCCAGACTGTGAGAAACTAAAGTACAAACTGAAAATGGGGGTTCTGGTTCAAGATGGCACCAAAGGGAGCTCCTGAACGCCCCTCTTCCATAGACATGGCCAATCTACCGCCACATTCTGAACAATTACTTCGAAAGATATCCGGAAAGTAGCTGAGCAAATCCTACATGTCAGGACGAGAGGAAGGCGCTGAGGCTCCGTCTCACCGTGAATCCGGCCCTCAGCTCAGTGACACACAGCCAGGAAGGACTTTCAACTCTTAGCTTTTCCCTGAGGAGTAAAAGGTTTGGATCCTGGACCCTCCCTGGTGGCGCAGCGGGTTAAAGCACAGCACTGAGAAGCTAAAGCCACTTCCGCATGAGTTTGATCCCCGCCTGCCCGGAAGTGACCCACATGGCGCGGCAGACCTCTCCTGACCCGCCCGCTGCTCCCATCAGCAGTGTACTTCATCAGTCAGCCTGTTCTGCTCCCCCACACTGTCTGGTGAATCCTCTTACTAGTCTGTACCCAGGTTCTGTACATGTAGATAAATAAACCTTAAAACAGTCATCTTAAAAAAAAAAAAAAAAAAGGTTTGGACCCCACATTTTGGTACCACAACTTTTAAGACCTGCAACCCGAGAAATGGGCCTGCAATGCATCCAAGATCTGAAAACCAATAGGCCTTGTGTCCACGAGACCTACATGCTTCTGCAAGAAGCTGGAGGACAATTCTCCGTGAGCTTTTGGGGTCTCCAATTGGGTTATCTTCTCTAAACCAAACACAACCCTTGAGGGTGCCACAGCCACTCAGCAGCACCAATTTTAAGGAATGGACAAGAGCCTCTCTCTGACTCGAGGAGGGCCCTTTGGGCCCTTGACAACCCACTTCGAAGGGAGGAGCTCCAGGCACTAGCTCCACTGGCCACTTCTGGCTTGGGGCTTCTCTGGCTTCGCTGCCACCTGGACGCTCTGGACAACCGAGGTGCCTTCCCGTGCCCGCCCAGCTCCCTACCTTTCCTCCCAGCCTCGGGCGCCGGGGAAGGCTTCTGCCCAGCAATTGCCGGTGCGGGTGAAGTGGGCTTCCTCTCAGTTTCCACCTCTTCCTCCTCGTCCCTCTTCGGTGGCTGCCTCACCTCCGGGGGTGGCTGCGAGGGTGGCTGTGAGGGTGGCTGGGGCTCCCCGCTCCTCCGGCCTTCCTTGCAGGGCTCGCTTGGCTCCGGGCCGGGCTTCCCTGCCCTGCGAGCCAGCAGCTCTACCAAGTAGGGTCGGTTCAGTCTGGAGAGCGGGGAGGACGGTGGGGTCTGGCTGGTGGGCTTGGGAGCCAGGGCCGGCTTCTGTGCCAGGGGCACTTTGTTTGCCACCTTTTCAGGCTCTGGAGCTGGGGTCTGGCTGGGCGCCGAGGGAGACCGAGGCTGGCTGGTGGCCGGAGGGTGGCTGCAAGGGCTCTCAGCAGAGTCCTTCCGGGGGGACGGGGCTAGCTTTCTCTCTGGCGGGTGGGATGGGCCAGGCTTGGGGGCTGGGCGCTCTGCGTCTTTCTCTCCAGCTGTGCCCCGAGGTGCAGGGGGGCCCCCATCAGCGGCGGCACTGTCCCCTGTGCTGCTGTGCCTTTTCTTCTTCTTCTGTTCTGTCTGCTGGTCACAGTGGAAGCGCAGTGAGTAGTTGGTCCTTCTCAATTTTATCCCAAACGGTGAGGCTTTTTCTTCCGCCGCTGGCATCGTGAGGTCTGGCTTTGCTGTCCCACTGGGGGTCTCACTGTCCGAAGTGGTCACAGGCTCTGTGTGGGCCACTGCTTTCTGCGAAGGGTAAGGGAGGCTTGGGACAAGGAAAGATGGAAGGTCTTTGGCAAATTTGCATCCTTCTGTGGTGTCCGTTGGCTCCTGGTGTGCCCCCAGTTTCTCTGGGCTCTTCGGGTGCGCACTAGTGCCAGCAGCCAGGAGCTGCGGTGCTGCCTCTTCACTGGGACCCAGGCCAGGTCTTTTTCTGTTTTCTGCTTCTATGTTCTGTTTGGAGGTCTCCGTGCCACCGTCGGAGAACTTCTGCCAGGCGGACTTGATGGAGAACTTCGCGTTCCCGGGCGGGGTCTTGCGGAGGTTCCCCCGGGAATCTGACCGGGCCCTGGGAGGCTGTTCCTCACCTGGCTGGGCGCGGTCTCTCTCGCTGTGTGGCTCACTCTCTGCGTTCTTCAGGATCCTGGACCGGATGGATGCCCATTCAGCGAGAGCAGCAGCACTGCTGGGAGGCTCCTGAGGGGGCCTGGCCTTCCCGCTGCCCGGCCGGGGGTCCACGGGCCCCCTGGGCGGGGTCTCCGGAGTCGGGACTTCCACCTGCTTCTTTTCCTCTGACAAGCCCAGCAGAGATTTGCACGCCGTGTCCTTGATCTGGCTCAAGTTGACAGCTGGGCTGCAGAGCTGGGCTCCTGTGACCAAAATAGCCGTGTGGGGGATGCTCAGGGAGGAGGACAGGGCATGTGGGGCAGGGCTGGCTTTGGGGGCCTTGGGCTCATGGGGTGCAGAGGCCAGGCCCGCATCTTTTGCCGGTGTCACTGGGCTCAGGTTGACTTTGGGGAAGAGGATTTGTTTCCCTCCAGAAGCCACCTGGAACGTGTAGGGTCTGGGCATGGTCTGCCGCTCGTCCACCTCCTGCCACCTGAGCTCCTCCACTTTTCTGTCTGACTCTGGGGCTGCAGCTTCTCTCAGCTCCATTGCAGCCACCGTCGCTTCCCCTCGCACCTCTTGCTTCTGGGGGCGCTGCACAGTGGTTTCTTCTCTCTCTTCTCGGCGTTCACTACCATCATCCTCATGAAAAGCCCCCGGGGCTCCCTCTCCTAGCGCTTGGGCCTCGGGCTGCACAGCGTCTTCGCTTTGCTTCTCAGATTTCAGGCTCTGGCCTTCTGGTTTCTCTGCAAGATCATCCTGTAGTGGGGTCCTTGGGCCCCTCTTGTTGTCCAGCTCCGGCTGACTCTCCTCTTGCCTGTTCCACGCCGCCTCCTGCCGCTCTTTCTCAGCTTCCTGCTGCCTCTGAGTCTCCACTTCCTCTTGCCCTCTCAGGTCTTCCCTGCTCTTTGCCTCCTCCTCCTGCCGCCTCAGCTCCTTCATCCTTTTCTCTTCCTCCTCCTGCCGCCTCAGCTCCTCCTGCTGCCTGAGCTTGTCCAGCCTTCGCTCCTCCTCCCATTGCTGCTGCTCCACCTCCCGTCGCTGCTCCTCCAGTCTTCTAAGTTCCTCCAACTCTCTTTCCGACTCGGGCTGCGGCTTCCCGGCCTCCCACCTGCCACATGCCCCCAGCTCCTGCTGCTGGGGTCTCTCCAGTCGCTCAGCCTCTTCCTTCAGGGCTTCCTGCTCCTTAGTTTCCAGCAGCCCCCCTTCCTCCAGCTCCCCCTGCTCTTGACCTTGGCAAACTTGCTCTTCCAGCCCTTGCTTCTCCCCTTCATACTGCTTTTTTCCTGCCTCCGGCTGTAGCTGCTGCTCCTCGGTCACCTCTTCCTCTCCTTCCTCCTCCAGAAGCTCTTGCCTCCTGTTCTCTTCCCAAAGCCTCCGCTCCAGGGCTTGTTGCCTCTGCTCTTCCAGGCGCCTCTTCTCGGCGGCTTCAGCCTTTTGCCGCTTGCACTTGGCCTCCAGTTCTCGCCAGTATTCATCCTGGCGTCTCTTCTCTTCCTCGGAGTCTAGTGTCTCTGCTTCCTCTTCATGCCAGCTGGGCTTGTCTTCCTCAGAGTGTCCGTTCTGGCCCAGGGACAGCTGGTGCAGAAGGCCACCTTCATGCAGTCGATCCTGACATTGGTGAGAGAAAGAGGATTAGTCCTTTTTCCCTGTTGCACGAGCACCTGTTCCTCACCCTATTCACCACAGAGATGGCCCTCTTAACCTCACAAGGAGGAGTATGGAGACAGGTGAACTCAGGAGTAAATTGTGGGGGCAGATGAAAAAAATGTCATCTGTGTTTTTACTCTCTAGCCCCTTTATATGTCATTCTCAAATTCCGTTCTTTAATTAAGGGTGAATGACTGTAGAAAAACAAGAACCCAGCATTAGAAAGAGGAGGGAGAAATCAGAGCTACCTCTCTTCGAGGTCTCCTGAAATCTACGGGTCATGCTGATCAAACTGAAAAATCTGAAAAATCTTCAGATGCTGATCAAACTGAAGAGTCTTTGGCTCGGCCACAGCAGAGGACAGGGGCGGCTCTTCTCCCTAAGTGAACGAAGCATGTCTGTCTTCCCTCCAAAGCAGACTCTCTCTGAGGCCCGCACCCCTCCAGACGGGGCGAGGGAAAGTAAAGGAGGCTGTGGACCTTCCTACCCTGCCACACACCCTAGTTCCCATTGGACAGACCCTTCTGTGGGTCTGTCCTGAGCCCACCCCACTGGGCTGAATGAGTGCCAGCAAGGAAGGTCATCTCCTGGCCAGCCAGGATGGACTCTACCTACCCCAATGAGTCGCCTGTGTCTCTTCGCCACTCTCTGGTTTTTTGGCTTAATGGACAGCTTGTGCTTGGCGGCACTGTTGTCCAGGCGAGCAATGGCCAGGGGGATGGCATCTAGATTGACACTTTCTATGGTGCCGGCAGAAGAGAAGTGTCTTTTTGGTCGAGACGGTTTAGCTGGAGCAACCTGGAGTGGAGACCAAAATAACAAGGTCAACCTGAGTCAAAAAGCACCTGCGGGCCGCCCCACGAGGGCAGCACGTGCTGCAGTCTGGCCAGGCCTCCCTGGCCCGGGAAGACACCTCGGTCCAGCCAAAGGAGCACTGTCTTTGGAATTAAAGAAAGAACTTTTGACCATCTTTTCTGCCAATGATATATGCATTCATTTGGAATGGTCATTTAACTCCCGGGGAGTTAAATAAGATGGGGGTTCAACAAAATATAGTCAGGGAGTCCAATCCTGCCTGCAGCCTGTTCTGATCAACAATGTTTCGCTGGTACACAGCCGTGTCCATTCTTCTAGGCCTCTGACGAGCTACAGGGGAAGCAAACCAAAGGGGGGTGGGCAGTCTACTCATTGGGACCTTAGGGCCACAAAACCTACAATAAGTAGTGGATTGCTCAGCCCTGGACTAGCTCATCTCGATGCTGAGAACCCCGTCACTGTAAAGTCGTCCTCCTCCCCCCTCCAACACCACACCTACACGCCTCAGCTCCCACCTTCGTCCCTGTGAAGCAGGGAACACGTCTTCTGTAATCTTTATATCAGTCCCCAATCAGCCCAAGCAGCAAACCCCACTTGACAAATATTTGTGGAAGGAATAAAGGAATAGTAGTGTATAAACTCAGGCCAAGGGCAGGAGATTTCTAATCAGTAAAGACCTTCAGCTCACTCACTCCAAAGTCACGGAGCACTGAGAGCATGGGGAAACTAGGAGGAAGAGACTGGGTGAAGAAATGAAGGGCAGAAACGTGGCCCTGGGGAAGGGTAGTTCTGGAGAGGCTGGGCGTTCTGTAACACAGGCGATCACACGAAAGCTACAGACTTGGGTGAGTTGTTCGGATTCAGGTAGGTCTGCAAGACCATGGCTCAGCCAGAACCCACAGGCTGCGCTGAATCAGGTGGTAAAAGCAGGCCACTATCAGGGAACGCACAGGCAAGCTGGGAGGTGAGGGCGCCGGTCACACAGGCCAAGGCACGGCAGAGGGCGCTCGCGGCCCTATCTGCCTGTGCCAGCTGCTCGCCGACACAAGGGTGGCCTCAGATAAGTTCATCTGTGTGTGTGCTCTATGTGCAGAGTCAGTGGGGTTTTGCCGAAGGGTTTGCTTTTTGCAATTCCTTTCCATATTTATTCACAAAAGATAAAAGGCCAAGCTAGTTCCAAGGGCAGACCAAATGCTCGGTAAATACTCATTTATGACAAGCAGCACGGAACTAAGGGGAAAGAACTGCAGCTGCTGGTTACTAGTTCTTATTTATTTAGGGTTCTCTTTGTAACAGGCCTCAACTCCTGAACTACCATTGAACAGAGAGAAATTAAACATTTATTACCCCCTCCCCATGGGTGCCTGAGTAAAAGGCCGTCGAGCCAAATGAGACAGATCGAAGACACTGATAAGTAGTTGAAACTGAGATTGAAATGTAGCATTCCATTTCTAGTTATTCCAGCTGGGCCTCTTCGCCCTCTGGGTGGTGGCACTGTCTCGACTCATCCCTCTCAGAAGACTCCAGGACATACCCTGCTCGCTGCACTGTCTGCCACGCCCCCAGGACGGCCCCCCTGGGCCTCTGTGCAGGTGCAAGTCCTTAAGGGGAGCAGACGGTCTCAACAAAGGAGGTGCAGCCGAGTTTCCGCAAGGCTCCCTACACACCTGCACATGAAGTTCCAGGTGGCACTGGGATGCAGAAAAGTCAAGAAACAAAACATGTAAACATAGGTAAAAGCAGAGGTTTGCTTTTGGCCTCTGTAAATACAGACTCCTTTACGGACTTAGGCACCCTCAAGTATTCTGGAATGTCTTTCAACGGCTTGACAGCATCTTGAAGTCAGATATTTAGGACAACTCTCCACGTCCAAAGACTCCAAAGGAAAGCATGTTTCCAGGGAAACAGACCACCCAACATCTCGCCCTAGTTGCAAGGCAAAGGCATTTCAGGTACTGGGTGAAGGCAGCATCTATGAATACCAACATGAGGCAGCAGGAGAGGGGAAGAGAGAAAGAAGAAATGGGAGTTCAAGAAGGAGGCTTTAAGTATGGAATATGTAAGCATGAAGTATTCAAATCACATTACCTTCTCCTCCATCTCACCGGCGGCTCCAGGCAGATTCGGAGGACTCAGAGAACTTGGCGTATCACTGGACTGGAACAGTAAAGACAGTGAAGTCAAACCCTGGAACAGGAAGTTCTGGGCAGATAACCAGACCCGGCTGTGCCTGGAAGGGCCGCCCCTCCTCCCACCCGCGTCTGCAGCCCGGCGCAGTCACGGCGGGGACCTGCTGTGTCCAGACGCCACGAGGTCTCCTCAGGCACCAGTTCCCAAGTTCAACACACTTCCATGCACAGTGTCTGGCCTCTGTCCTGGCTGAGCTTCCCAAGGCAGCTGAGAGACTGGGGTGCCAGCCGGCAGCCCCCTACCTGGGAGCAGGGCTGCTTATGCACACACCACCCCCAATCTCAGCACGCTCACTGTGTGGCTGCCTGCCACCTGTTCTCCGTGGCCTTCGAGGGGCCGGACCAGACAGGAGGCAACAAACAGAGGCAGGAAGAGGAGAAAAGTAACGATTCACACCCAGCCACCTCAGCCTGCCCTCGACGCCCACACCCGGTCATCTGCTCCCTTCCGATGGCCTGCTGTACTTTCTATCTTGTATCGCCAGTATTTCCAAGAGGGCCTTGCTGTCCCTGCCAACAAGATATGCCAGGGTGATTACCTCTGTTTTCTGCACCACGTTTAGAACCATCTTTAGGAAGTACAAACCAGACAAAGTGGCCCTCCCGCTTAGAATCAGCTGGAGGCTTCCTGTGGCGTTCAGAACAGAATTCACCCCTTTCTGGCACCCGTATACACCAGCTGGCCTTGGCACCACGTGTTACCTGCACTTGCCCCCGTCAGGGTCTGGCTATGGGGGCATTGCTTTCTGCACCGTGGCAAGCCCAGTGGCCCCTCTGGGTCTTTGTAATTGCTCGTCCCTCCGCCTACAACCTGGGGCGGCTGCTGGCTGCCTGCCTTCCCTATCTGAAGAAGCCAGCTGCCCTCACCTCCCTCCACAGCAGCTTCTTCATCTGAAATCACTGTACTTATCTATTCCTGGACTGTCTGTCAATCTTCTCTCGCTAGAATGCAAACTACACAGGGGATGCTCCTTGTCTAATCTCACTCACACCTGTAATACGGCAGCTGGGAGGACATCCGATGAGCAAACGATCCTCCTTCTCCCCTAGGCCACGGTGCCTCCCACCAGTAACAGCTTTGTCTGCTAGGAAGTCCTGCGTCTAGGCTGGTGGCGTTCACCGCTGTTGAGAGATCTTCAGGGGGCATTTTTGGACTTAGCAGGAGGGACAGTGCCACCCCTGCCTCACCTACCCCACCACCCACCACCCAAGGGTGTGGGCACCAGGAAACATCATGCCCAGGCCCTGGCAGAGACCAGAGACAGAGTGGGTACCGGCCTTGCCACTGCTTCTTAACTTTGCTCTTCAAATAACTTATCGTTCTTACTGATTTGGGGTGTGTTAACTGATCACAAGATGACTGCATGCACCCATCTTACTGCATAAGGGGTTAGACAGGAAGACTCAAAAGGGATTAGAGAGGAAGGGGTTAGACAGGAAGACTCAGCGTGTCAAGCAGGGAACTCCTTCCTCGAGTCACAGCAGGACCTTTCCCCTTTCAGTAAAAGGGACTGGGTCTCTTCATCTGCCAGAAGGACTCTTATCTCTGGGTGAGAGCAAAGTGTTTCTTTCCAATCGTAGACAAGATAGTGCTGGAACAATGTGACTTTCTTCTACACTAAGTAGACTTCTCATGGGTCTGTTCAGTCTTACTGAGCACAACCTCTGTTTCTCATTCCCCCTGACATCAGTGCAGTTCAGAAAGTAGTTACTCAGCATCCTAGTTAATCCCGGGGAGGAAAGGATGTGGAAGATCCAGTTCATCCTCATAGAGCTCAACCTTTAGAGATGGAGAGAAATCAGAGCAGATGGGGTGCATGTGGGTAAGAAGCGCTGGGGATGGACACATGGAGGCAGGCCAGGTGAGGCCAGGTGAGGCTTCCTAGAAGAGGCGGGTGAACCTCCGTCTTGGAGAGTAAGTGGAGGCACTGGGGAAGCGTGGGCACGGGCTGGTCGCCTTCGCCTCTTCCTCCCTCTCCTCCAAGTTGGCCTCATGGAAGACCAGGCACCTACCACCAGCTCTGGGCTATTCATTGGAAAGCTTCTCTTACCTTCCCTGGCTGAGAACCAGGGTGTCTGGACACCCCCCACGCTCCCCCAGATTGGCCAAGGGGCTAGCCCCTGGGGAAGCCTTACTTTGTTCTCAGTGTCTAAGAGCACAATGTCCTGCTGAGTCACAATTTCCATGGGGCTGGTGGGGAACAGATCCTCTTCGAAGCTCGCCTCCCCACTGTCTGCCTTCTTCATGGGGATGGCGCTGGGAGGTGGCTGTCCAAACTTGATGTTCTTGCCCAACTGTCGCTGGAGAGAAGAGAAAGACGCGCTGAAGCAGTGAGGCAGCCCCCGAAGCCCAGGCGGGTGCCCAGGGGTCTAGCAGGCCCAGAGGCACGTTCTGAACGCAACTAAACACCATGCCTGCGACCCGCGATGCTGTCCTCACAAGTGAATTTGTTTTTTCCTTCCTCTTCCACCTCTGAGCCCTGAGCATTTCCACTCAGTTACCTCTTCCATGCAAGATGCCCACACTTTCTGGGGGTACAGAGACCATATTTTTGAACCAAGAGTTGGGAAACAGGTTATGACAAAATGCTTTTTTGGCTTGTCCTCTCATCATAAAAAGCCTTTTCAGAAGTACAAAACTTGTATAGAAAATCATGAACATAAAATGCAGGAAACACGGGGGAATCAAGACCCTTATAGTCGCTGCCATTAGGACACCTCCGGCCCCTTCTGACACGTCCCCCTTGAATATTTATACTTCAACGACTGTCCTCACAGTCCAGTTCCTAGCGGGAACATCATGTTTTGGTCAGTCGGTACATGCTTTCGGCCAAGGCGAAAAAGGCCCCAGGGCTAGCAAATCATTTTGTGATCAACAGAAAATCCTGGAAGGAACAGGAACCACTTTGTCCTATTTCTAGAATTTTATGCCTGGTCTTGCTGCAGCCACTATCTAGTGTGAAGGGGGGGGGGCAGGGAAGGAGGGAGGAAGCAAGCCAAGAGGGGCTGGTTCGGGCATAGGTTCGTTCAGACACTAGGCAAAGGGAGGAGAAGCGGGTGAAAATTAGGAAGACAAGTAGTATTTGGGATTAAGAGAAAGGTCAGGTCAGGAAAGAAACAGATTCCCTACAGGAAAATAAGCAAACACAGGGTCTAAGTACCAGTGGGCTCTGGTGGGGAAAAGGAATGAGATTCAGCAAGGAAAAGCAGACAGCGTGGAACTGAACACGTTAGCGCCTGTAAGTCAGGGCTTCTCAGCCTTGGCACATCTGCACTGAGGCTGGGTCATTTTTTGTCGTGGGGAGCACTGTATGGGGTTCAGCAGCACTTCTGGCCTTGGGACACTTTGTTCTCTGCTAGTCGTAAGGCCTCTTCCCCCGCTCGAAACAACTAAAAATGTCCAGGGGAGGAAAAAGTAAAAATGTCCAGGGGAGGAGGGTGTGTGGGGGGCTATTCTAATACATACATGGCTTTAATAGCCCTTCTATGCCTCAGGGGAATAAAAGAAAAGACACGATCTGATAGCTATCTCCCATCTGGCTAATATTTAGTCATACAGAGCTGCAAAGAAAGCCTTAGCAATCCTAACATAAACCCGCTCGCTTGATTAAAAAAAATCCAGAGGTCCCCAAGGGGCGGAGTGGCGGGTCAACCCTGTGGAAAGAGTGAGTGGCCCCAAAGGCAGAATTTGAATCCAGAGCTTCCACCATAAAACCACTTTCAGGGTTCTTTTCATTGCACTCCATGGTTTCTAATTAACTGGACACCGACTTTCTTTCCTCGAGGGGCACACATAAAAAGATGATGCAGCATTTTTAACACCTCGCTGAAGTTCCTGGCAGGGGTCCTTTAAGGGAAGTGTCCTTTCTCCCTCTGGCCTCAAGAGCACCAGATCAACCACCTGCGCACCCAGGTCCCCCTCAGCCTTGCAAAGTGGGCAGTGAGATGGCAGAGACATGAGAGATGAGCCCAAGACCCGTCCCCGAGCGGCCCCCCCACCCCCCCACCCCCGCCGGGTACCCCTGGCATGCCAATCAGGAGCACAGAAAGACACGGACTTCGGTTGGATCTGCTGGCGGCTCAGCCTGCATTTGGCAACCCTGGCACCACACATCCAAAGCCCAAGTGCAGCCAGTGAAGTACAGCTTGAGCGGCTGAAAAGGGTTTTGGGGATGAGGAGACTGAGTAAGGTGTCTGATAAAAATGAGGTTAGCAGGAAGCAGAAGTTAGTATCTACGCTACACAGATCAATAAGCAGGCACGGTTAGAACAGCTGATGGCGTTAGACAAGAGGACATGGCGTTACAAAGTCACAGGCCCGTCTCACTGCCGGCCCAGGGCGAGGGATGAGAACCCGGGCAGGTGGCCAGGCACGGCCCCTGCCTCCTAGGGAAAGCATTGGCAGCTGCCTGGATGCCCAGCCAGCGTGGCCCTTCCCTGGTGTGTGGGCCCAGTGTTAGAAAGTCTTCCCAGACTGAGACCTGCGGCTGTCTGGGTCTGCCATCCCGCCAATACCCCTGATGACTGAGATGAGAGCCTTTCTCCTCCTGACGGAGGGTAATTCTCCAAAGGGCCTCAAGGAAACCTGGCTCAATACTCTAATGCCACTGAGTTAGGATTTTGGCCGCCATCACAACCCAGAAAGAATAGGTTTAACATTGTTCTTCACTCGAGCACTTTTTGGGGAAAAAAAACAAAACAAAAACAAAAACAAAAAAAACCATGATGCTGTCGAGACAAAACAAGAATTTGGCAGAATGTCATCAAGTCTAGATTGAAATGCAGCTCAAAAGACGGGATGGGGTCGTGGCTAGGAGCAGAAAAGGAAAGAGACAGGGTGGGCAGGGGGAGGGGGTGGAGCACGGGAGAAAGAAAGCATGGGGCAAAGGCAGGAAGGGGCGCTGCTGCTAAGAAACGGACTGGACCGGCTGGACCATAAATAACCCGAGAAAACCCACTGCAAAACACAGCAGAAAGAGCTCTCGGATGCTGAACAAAATATGGTGGCGATGGGGGAGAGGCTGGACCGAGGGGGATGTGAGAGCGGCAGCTGGGTTGCTGAGCGTGAGCAAAGCGCGTGCACACAGCCAGGTGTGAAGCTATAGACCCGACTTTACAGCTTATAAATGAAGGGGAAATCGATACCTTTTAAACCAAAAAAAAAAATAAATAAATAAAGGAAAATGTAGTGGAGAGTAAAGAAAACTGATCAATGGGGAGACAGGTGCGGGGCACAGAGGAAAGGCCCAGTGGGCAAGAGTACCAGGGAGGCTGCAGCCCAGACAGCAGGCACAGCAGCTGGGGGGGCGAGGGAGGAGGGGGAGAGGAGGAAGGAGAATGCGTGCCAGCATCAAAGGGTTCCCTGAGGCCACAGGCATGTTCACCCTGGCAAAAGAAACAGTGGTGCTGTCTTTGAGAATGCCCGTGTGCAAGTCCTCGAAGTTGCTGGTTTAAAAGAGGAAATAAATTCTCTAGAGAAAATAAATTCAGGCTGGTGCTAGCGAGCTTAGGAGGAAGAAGTAGGTTGGAAGAGGGAAGACCCATCCAGGTCACCCAGGAAATGATGGGCACCATGTAGGGAGAGGGCAGCAACGTGAGTCTGTCTTGTAGACACACCCTGCAGGTGTCAGGGAAGAGGCAGCGGAACAGCCTGGGGAGGATAAGGGGTCCGGGGCCACAGTGACTGGCCGCAGGACCCCCAGGCGTCTGCTCTCCCCCTCTCCTGCCTTCCGGCTCCAAACACTCCTTCTGCTGACCTTCAGGAGACTGGGCTATCTCAGTATGTGTGCAGTTTATTGACAATTAAAAGGTCACTACTCGAACCTCTTTAGCAATGTCAGGTGTTGCTGAACTGAATACGAGGATAAATGTAGCTTTTTTGTGACTTTCATCCTGCCCCATATGCAGGCATTGGGTAGCAGAAATTTTGATCTAAGGAACCACTGGAAACCAGAATGAAGACAAGCTTGCCCTTAAGTTTCCAGGGACATAAATTTTCACTCCTTTACCTTTTTTCATTTTATTTTTTAATGCCATGGGGGTACTGTTATGGGGGTGTGTGTGTTGGGGGAACATGGAGTTACTGTTGAGACTGGAATGCGAACTGAAAGTGACTGGGCTCTATTCATTTGAACTGGGCCACTCCATTGCACCGTGGAATGCTGGAGAATGGTGGTAGAGAACGCATCTCCATACGTGGGAGGCCTTTCGTACAGTGTGGGAATTGCAAGCACATGGTATGCTGCAGCTCTCATGCTGCCAGTGTTTAGATTTCCCCAGATATTTCCCAGCATTCTTCAGACCATGTCTGTAAGAACAAAGCAGAGGGAAAATGAAATTGCTGTCTTGTTTAGTGAAACACAGATACTCCCTTTGTTAAAACGATTTTTTAATTGAAAGAAAAAAGCAGACAGATTTAAAAGACATCTGCTCTAGAAAGAGGTGGCTAAGAGTGGGTGTTCTGTGTCCTTGACAGCTGCATGAGGTGCCAAATCCTCAAATGTCGGACTTGGCAGTTTTTTTTTTCAAGTGAAGTACAGCCCAGCAGGAGAGAGGAACTACGCAGGATGGAGGTTTCCCTCCTGAGCTAACCAGCCTGTGGGCTAGTGGGCTAAGCATTTCTCAACAAAGGCAGGTAGGAGGCTAACAGTTACCTGCAGGCTTAGCTAGGGATACTCCTGAGTTTATCATAAGCTGGTTTCTCCTTCACAGCCTGGTCTGATCTCAAATAAACAGGCACCCTCGTGGAGCCGGATGGTGCCCTGGGCATCCAGAAGGAACACCAAGGTCGTGACAACCCAAATGCAACAATGTGCAGAGCTGACAAAGTCAGCAGGTGTACAGAGAATCCTCCTGCACAGATGGCTGATTTAGGAACAGGAAGGGTGGCCCTTCAGATTGTCTGACACAGGCAGCCCCTTATTGCTCTGCTGGGACAATGAAGTCCTGAGAGGTGAGATGATGTCACCTGAAGTCACACCGCCGGGCAGTGGCGGAGGCTTGGCACAGCTTTTCATGTCGTGCACCAGTCATGGCACGACTAGCTGGCCTGGAAGGGGTCCTCAAGAAGGCCATTGTGAACAGTTTGTAAATGAAAATTTGGTCTCACTTCACACATGTATAACTTTTAGATTCAGGGAAAATAATGCAATTTTTCCTTTGAAGTTTTAATTATTTGCCACAGAAAGTTGGGCACCTCTGCTTTGTGCAGAAAAGTGTAGGCTTTTGAATGCTGTTTTTCAGTCATTCTGTACTCAGGGAGATAGTAAAGGGCCGGGTGCCACATACAAGTTTTAGTTCTAGGGGAAATGACTGTGTGTGGACACTAGGGGGCGACCTTTCCAAACACAGTCGAGAGCGGCGCCCTTCCTAGGGTTTCCAAGGACTGAGAAGTTTTATAAGCCAGAGAAAAATGACTTTTTTTTTTAAAGTAGCGTTCCAATAGAAATGTCATTTCAAAAGAATGTCTCCATAATGATGGCAAAACTCTTAAGTAGGCGTTATCCATAACCATCCTCTCTTTGTAATAAATATACACACATACACAAAGACGATTTTAGACATACAAAAACACACATGCCTCTGATGTGAACACCCTCATTCCATGCTGGAGCCTACGAAGGGGTGGTCTTTATTGCTGCTTACTAAGCATCAATATCAGCATAACGTTGTCATGGAAAATGCAAAGCATTCATGCAAGTTAATAAATTAACTACTATTTCTAGCGACTTACCAGGAACATACTGCTTAGTCGACTGAAAAATAAAGCACAGTCTTTTGGGGGTGATACAGTTATTTCTCATGGCACTCCAAAAAAATCACATTTTCTACGAAAATGGTTCCCATTTCCCTCCTTGAAAAGCACAGCCTTTTACTTTACATTTAAAAATCTGAAACCGCAGAGCTGTAAGTCTGTGAATCCACGCCACATAGACAGTGCTTGTATGAGTAGACAGCATCCACCGCAGAGCGCTCAAGCCAGACAGCTGTTCTGTCGGACCACACTCCCCGTGTCGCTACTCCCATTATTCCTACGGGCCGCACACAATTCCTGTGTTTACAGAATCTTTGCGTCTTTGTTGAACATTTCATTCATTGGGAGGTCAGATTTTAAAATGGTGCCCACTATGAATAGGTCAAACAGGCTATCCTGTTTCTTACTGAGTTTCTCTGTTTTCAGTACTGCAGGACTAGCTGTATTTTACAACTCCAGAGTCACCTTCTGGGACAGGGAGTGGCACTTGGTGTTTTGTTATGGACAAGAACATTATCAAATTGGAAAATTTGTACAGCACTCCTTGAAAGCTTTGTGGAATGAAATCTTAGACACGGGGGTATTGTGAGCCACGAGTTCAGCCTTCTCAGGGAAACAAAAGACTAAAGAAAAGGTACGAAGGAGGTGGGTCAAAGGTTGTGTGGCCATCACCACCCTTTCCCTTCCTCCAGTCTAGGACAAGTGACACCTTGTTTTTTTCTTCTGAGTATAAAATGCATGAACAGCACAGTCAGCTATACCCATGAATGGAAGCTGCTGAGGAAATGCTGGCAGGCGAAGGACGCGCACAGGCCTGTGGTCTCAGACAGGGAGAAAGCTGTAAGATTTAGGCACGTTTGGGTGTGGTTCTGGATTGTGGCTATTTCCCCCACTTGCCATCTACTATATTCATCTGAGTGCCCGTGGGAATAGGTGACCTGACATGGATACAGCAAACAGAGAATGTTCAGCAGAAACCAGGGTATTTCGAGAAAACAGAAAATTGTTTTTGAGTACAATGCTTCATTCATCATGTCAGTAGCTACTCAAATCAGCTGTCCCTCTTTTCTGGCTCATTCATTCATTCGTCCATTTATTCGTTTTGTGTGTTGTAGACTGAAGACGACGGAAACCAGAGCCCCGCACTCAGACTCTGAATCTCCTCTAAGTGGAGGCACACCTGGCATCTGAGGGATTCCCTCAGAGCAGTCAACTGCCACAGTCAAATCCGAGGTCTTTGCCCCCTCGCATCTCCTGGATGCCCCGATCTTTCCATCACAGTCAATGCAGAGTTCTGTTAGTGTTTTTTCATCACTAGGGAGTTACTACCTGATTCAACTCATGTAGGAAAACTGCCCAATTCTGCAGTGTGAAGAGGAGGGAGGTTCAAGCGCTTGACCTTGGAGAAAAGGTGGCCGGGGTTGGGGGCAGGTTTAAAAGCAGAGCAGAATAACAGTCTCACCACTCACAGCCCAAGCAGAGACTGCACAGTGAACGCAGTGCTGCGGGACTCTTGGCTGACAGACAGCCTCAGGGCTAACGGCCAACACTCAGACTTAGGAGCTTTTCCCTCCCACCCAAATCCTGCAGCTTCTCTTGGGTACTGGCCTCATGACAGCCAGTGGGAAATGAGGGGACCATCTGAGAGAAAATGAGAGGGGGCGTGATATAGGCGACACAGTGGTGACAAAGCCTCTCTCAACAGGTGGGCAGGCGGCTTCCAAGGAGCTGAGTGAGGTTTCAGAAAGCAAAAGTTCTCAGGGGGCCCCCCCAAGGACCTCCCACGCTCAAGGCCAAATACGGGCTTCCCCCACTTGCCTCCACAGCCGGCCCTCCTGTGGCTCTGACCTTGCCATGTCCAGCTGTCTTACCTGAAGAGTTTTGACTTTGCCCAGGATGTTGTCCTGTGACATTGCTTGAATTGTCTGCTCACTTTCTGCTCCCCCATCAGGGATAAAAATACTGTCATGGGAAAACGCACGGGTTCCCATAGAATAGCTGAAGGACCTGGAATGCAAATCACGTGCTTCATTTTATTAGGGTGATAAAATTACTTTTGGCAATTCAGTTCCCTGTACTTCCTGATGAGGGACTCCACCCACATCCTCTGTCTCATTCAGTAGGGTTTTTGGCACCATGTCCTCTCTGACTAAGGGTCAGCCAAGTAGTTGGAATGAGAGAAGGTTCCACAGGAATAAGGCAGCATGTCTCCGTTAAGACAGTGCAGAGCTACACACCAGAAGAACTCGGTGGCATTTACCTGCTGAGGACCCAGGACACGGGGCACTGCAGAAATTTTAACTGGGGGGCCTCCCTGGTGGCCTAGGGGTTAAGTCTCAGCGCCATCACCACCATGGCCTGTGTTCAATACCCAGCCAGGGAGGTGACCCACATGGTGCAGCAGACCTCTCCTGTCTCACCCGCTGCTCCCCTCAGCAGTGAATTTCAATAGATCTGCCTGCTCTGCTCCCTACTCTGTTTTTGGTGTATCATCTCATCCCCTGTACCTCTGGCCTACACCTCAGCTTTTCTATGCAAAAATAAATAAATCTTAAAAAGAAAGAAAGAAATGTGAACTGGAAGCACCTTTTCCCTGATGAACTGTCACTATCAGTCTTACCCCAATAAGCCTTATCGACCTCACTTTCTAAGTAACGTAAAGATTGAGAAGAAAAACAAGCAGCGGGGTGGGGGGGGGGTTTCCCCTTCAGATTATAGTTGAACTAGGAGACATAACTCTTAAAACAAAGACGTGAAGAGAGTTAGCACTGCTGATTGACAGGAACTACAAACGCTTTAGGACTGACTTCAGAGGTGGGGGGGTGTTGGGAGTGACCAAATGCGGAGATTTACTGAGAGACTGGATAAGGGCAATAATAAATCAGGCCTTGCATCCAAAGGTGATAAGGTGGTAATAAATTGGGCCTTGCATCTAATTAACGGGTCCTTGCATTGGGATGGGACTAGATGAAGGTGACAGCGAACTGGGCCTTACATCAAGGACACAGCGATGAGTCACCCCCTTTGAAATCTGAGCTTAGGACCTATAAAAGAGACCCTTCACCCTTATTGAGTTGGCAGTAGCTGCGGACCCCACTCTAGGGGCTCCGTCTCAGCTGCTGTCCCGGAGCAATAAACTCTGCTTGCTCAGCCTTTCTGCCTCCTGCCTTCCTTTCTTGCGGCCGGTCACAGAAGTTGGGACAAAACAGGGAGAGATGTGTGTCAGTGCATCTGATGGGTCCCATGCCCATGGAGCAGCTTGGGAGGGCAGGCAACAACGACAGCCTTTCAGCTGAAGGGGTGGACTTCGAGGACTTGTGGACTCACCCATGGAGAGGCACAGGTCAGGCAGGAACAGCAGGGAGAAGAAGCAGCAGCAGCCCACTGCTCCTCACTTGAAGCTAGCTTATCTCTGGGAAGGAATGCCCAAGGGCAGGCAGAATCACACAACCCTCTCAGACAGACCAGGCAGGAGGCCAGTGGCAAGCTGGGGCACTCCCAGGAGTGAGAGACAGCCTCTTCTCCCGCCCTCTCACTAGAAAGTGCGAGTGAAAAGCCAGAACTGAGGGAAAGACCCTCCAGAAGGTGCCTCTGAACTGAACTCCAGAAATGCAGCATAGGGCCCACCATACCTAGAAGTAACTGGGGACACAGAGCACCAAATCCTCTCATGTAACAGGCAGCATGGTAACAAAGCATAGGACGTCAGAAAACAAGCCTTGGATGTTGGCTGCCTGATGGTAAGATCTGGGGCAAGCATCATCTCTACCACTACCATCACTGCCACCACCACCATCACTGCCATTATCAGCACCCTTTACTTTGATGAAAAAACTGCTGAGAATTTCTTTTCTTAACCCTTCAACCAACATCTTGCTATAGCTGAAACTCATGGGGTAGATCACCTAAGCTGAAGTCATCCAAATAGTAGCAGTAGAATGAGAAGCTGAATTTAGACCTGCAGAGTACAGATCTGCCTGCTCAGCCAGGCAGCTGAACGGTTTTAAAGTGGCAGAAGATCTTCAAGTAACCCTTGAAGAGGGGGTCAGTGGGAGAGGGAGACAGGATGCAATGCCATGTGGGCTAGGATACGGGAGGGTAGAAGATACTACATTGTCAGAATCACGGGTAAGCTCCCAGCTAAGGAACACAAGACATGCCTAATAGCAATCTGCTCTGTGAAATGCACAGCACAGTTTTAGGAACTCTGAACGGAAATGAAACGCTTCATTTTCTCCGTCCTCAGTGCCTCTGCGATCCATGCTATAAAATGAACTTCTAGTTCACCCACAGAGGCTATGAAATACACTTTTCATTCACAGTTACAGTTACTCTGTTTAAACTTCTTGCTCAGGTGATCCAGATGGGAGGAGGTAGGTGACTTCATTTCTACATGGTGTTTCATAAATGGTTCCTAAATATTCATACAAGCATGTAGACACACAAGTCTATTTTAGATGCTTAGTTTCCAAGGTCTTGCCGTTGTGTGCATATAATAGTATCAGCACTAGGTCAAATTCTGTTCCAGTTTCTAAATCAATCTTGACTTAGAGGTGAGATTTATCTCCCTGCTCCTATGGCTTTTTTCCAGGCAGACTAAGAATTGACACACTCTTGTTCTTCTTTGTTATCCTGAATGTTTCTTAGGACTTAATATCCACCACTTCCAGGTGATCATATTGGAAAACCAAGAAAAGAATTAGTAATAGCTATTACTAATTACTAGGAGTAGGAGTTGAATGAGGGCAGTCACAGTGGAAATATTAATTCGAAGCTATATTTTATTGAGAACCTGGTATATACCTTGATAGGTGCTAACCTATTTAATACATCAATAATACCAAAGTCCTCTTGACATATAATATTTAAAACTTATTTGGTAGGCACTATTATTCAGTCTATTTTATAAATGAGGAAACTAAGGCTGGAAAACATTGAGTGACTTGCTCTAAGTGAACTGCTTATGTGTGAATCTGTTTCTAGCCCGTTTTGTTATTTATATTCCACAAAATGAGCGAAACGAGCAGGTAACTAACTTTTTGACTTATTTCATGTCACACAGATTCATTCATTCTGTTCCAAAAGGTATGATTTCATCTTTTAAAACAGCTGGGTGGTATCCAGTTTCTATTTCACAGTTTCTTCATCTAGCCATCTGTCAATGGACATTACATTGACTTCATGTCTCGGCCACCATGAATATGCTGCTAGGGGTGCATGAGACTTAGTGTTCTCATTCTCCTTGGATGACTACGTGGGAATATTGTTGCTGGGACATACGGTATTTTCACTTTTAGTTGTCTAAGGAAACCTTAGACCATTTTCCATTTAGGCTGTTCACACAAAATTGAATTATAGTGGTGATGGTGGGTTTTGTTGTGTCTTCAACTGGAAAGCATTTAATATTTCACCATTAAATTATGATGTTCACTACAGAGTTTTTAGTTACTCTCATAGCATCTTTAAAACGAGTTTTATTTATAGCTTTTTAAAAGACTCATCTCAGCATTTGGTTTTCAGCTCTATTGTGCTCGATATGAATTTCTTCTAATTTACTCAGTTTGAGGTACATGATACTTATTAAGCCTGTCACCGGGGGACCTTCAACAGTCTTGAGAAATGCTCAGCCTCTTCAAATACAGCTTTGGCTCCACTTTCCCTCTGTCCTCCTCTAATTCTCCAATGTTAAACCCTGAGCCATATGTCTTTTATGCTTTTTTTTTTTGTATCTGCCACTTTTTTGTACTCAGTATGATTCAGTTTGGGTTTTCTTATTGACCTACTTTCAGCTCATCACTTCTCTCTTTAGTTGTGTCCAATCTATTGTGAAACTATCTACTGAGTTTCTTACTTTTGGTAACTGTTTCCCAATCTTGGATTTCTGCTTGGTTCTTCTTCTTGGCCTCCAGTTGTAAGGTGAAATTCTCCAACTTGTCAACTATTTTATCAAACACATTTAATCACAATTATCTGAAAGTCTCTGTCTGACACTCTAATCTCTTAGTCACCTAGGTATCTTTTCTGAATAATACAGTTTATATAAGGAGAATGAAGACTAAACCCTTGGCAATTTATATAATTTAAAATACTGGATAATCATGTCAACCAATTCTCATTCCAAACAACTCCACAATGTAGATTATTTCCTTTCCTCTGAAAGGGGGGTTGAGTCAAAGAATGGTTTTAAAAAAAAAAAAAGTTGCCCACAGTTTCAGAGTTTGAGGCTGGGCTGGAATTGAACCAGAATAGCTCTGGTATAAAGACCTCAGCTTGAAACTGTTCTAATGAACAAAGATCATGGTGGGATCATGGCTCTTGGGCAGCTGCGAACTAGAATTACTTGACTGGGAAGTGGAGGGACAACTGACCACACACGGTCCCTTAGCAGGTTCCCTTGGACGACTTTACTCTTCATATGTAAAGATCTTCCACAATTGAACACTGTGCTGGAAGATGTTTGGATTTCTGTGGGAACAAAGGAGCTGTGAGAACCACAGCTGCCGGACCACACCAAGGCAAGAGAGTCTCGGTTCACTCGCAAGTGCAAGTCTTACACAAAAGAAGGTGAACCAATTTTACAGCTTAAGTACCAAAGCTGTCCCCATCAAATCAGAAACCAGCATCTATTCATTTTTGGCACATGTGCTTAATGCTAAGATGTTTTCACTGTGGTAAAATATGCATTTCATAAATTTTGCCATTTTAACTGTGGACAGTGGTGTGTTGAGTAGATTCACAGTGTGTGACCAGCACTCTGTTTCCTCTCCAGGAGTTTTTCATTATCCTGATCTGAAGGGCCACACCCATTCAAAACCAGCCCCCCCCAACGCCGCCCCAACCCTCCCACCCCCAGCTCTTTGCAACCATCCTGTCCTTTTGTTTACATGAATTTGACTATTCTTGAACCTTATCTATGTGGAATGATAGCTGTTTGTCCTGTGCTACCTTATCTCGGCTACCAACAAGTCTACACCCGCTACCAACAAGTCTACACCGCAGCAAGTATC